GGGGGGAGGGGCTTTAATGAACAGGGATGTATTTCTCACAGCTCAGGGGCTAGAAGTCTGCTTTCAGGGTGCCAAAGGCCGGCTCTTCTGTCCTCGCAGAGAAGGCTGGTCCAAGTCTGTCTGCAGCTTCTCCCCCTCTTCACGTGGCAGGGCCTTGCTCTTCCGCCACTCTGCCCCGCCTTAATCCACTCTATTTCGAACTCAAGAGACTGGTCGAAGACACATTCTGCGGGAATCCTGCCTTATGAACAACGCGACAAAGAAAACCCCACTGCCATCGAGTCAGTGCGGGTTCGTAGGGAGCCCCTGTGGGCTTCCCAGACTGTAACTGCTGACAGGAGTAGAAAGCCCAGTCTTCCTCATGCCGAGCTGCTGCTGATTTCAAACTGCCAACCGCCTGAGCACAGCCCAGTGCGTAACTACTACGGAGCATTGTGCGCTACCTAATCCTGCAGTCATCGTAAATACACCATTTATTTCCAGCAGGGATAGCTGCTGTGGAGCATCCTCAGCTTATGGGGTCCCCTCTGAGGCACAGCAGGATCCACAAGGCTTTTCATTGACTGATGGTTACAAGTTTCATCTGGAAGCTCCCTCAAAACCTGTTTCTCATCATGTATTTGCTGGGAGCCATTGTTGGTTCTGACCCACAGCGGCCGGCCGCACAACAGAACGCAGCACTGCCGGGCCGGCCGCGACAGCCTCACTAAGGTTTCTATGCCTGGGCCCGTTGTTGCAGTCATGGTGCCAGCCCATCCTCCGCTGCCCCTCCGCTTCTCCAAACACGATGTCCTTCTCCAAAGGACAGGTCTCTCCTGACAACAGGTCCAGCGTATGTAAGAGGATGTCTCTTGGGTACACACAGCTGGGAAGAAGTGGAGCTGGGATTCAAACCTATGTCTCACTGACCCAAAGCCACATCCTCTTTCTAGAAGAGAAGTGATGGTCGGAAGCAGCAGCTTGATCCCTCGAGGGGGTGGGGGGAGGGCAGGGGTCTTTAGCGAGGGAGATTTCCAGGGGGATTGGGGGTATTTATCTCTGTCTGTCTGTGCCCGCTGCTCCCCACAGACGCCCTGAGGAAGCCCAGCATAGACGGCTTCTCATCGGATTCCTGGCCGGAGATGGATGAGGAGTGCTGTGAGCAGAACCCCCCGGAGGAGGAGGAGCAGGAGCAGGAGCAGGAGCAGGAGGATGGTGGAGAGAAGGAGCCCAAGCCACCGGCCGATGGTCCCGCCTCACCCCCTAGCACCCCTGCCGAGGACCTGGAGGCCCCCGCCATGCGGTTCCTCAAGAGGACTTTGTCTAACGAGTCCCAGGAGAGTGGGAAGTCCTCCACGGCACCGGCAGACTACCCCAAGACGCCCACCAGCTCGCCCACCCCAGATGGACCTGCCAAGTGGACCCACCTCACCGAGTTTGAGCTGAAAGGCCTGAAGGCCCTGGTGGAGAAGCTGGAGTCCCTCCCCGAGAACAAGAAGTGTGTCCCCGAGGGCATCGAGGACCCCCAGGCACTGCTGGAGGGCGTCAAGGTGGGCAGGGCCCAGGTGGGGCGGGCAGCTTCTGTTCAATGGGCTGGCTGCAGACTGTTTGGGGGTCCCTCTAGGTGCTGAGAAGGACCCTGTGGTCCGAGCAGACCCCTTTGAGGGGCCACTGATGGGCAGCGGAGGGCCCTCTTGTTGACTCCTTGCTTTGCGGGGGAGGACAACATGGTCCTTCTCGGCACTGCTGGTGGAAGATGTGCGGGGCAGCGGTAGTGCTGTTGGGGGGCCTGGAGTCAGCGCCCTCCTCTGCTGCTCTGGGTTGGCTTCCTGGAGCAGCATCTGATGTGTAGGTGTAGGGTATACCCTGGCAGTCTTTCACAAGGTGCCACAAAGCAGCTGGGGGCTCCGAGCAGTGCCAGACGTCACTGAGCAGATGCTCAGGGAGCCCCAGCTGTGTTGGGTGCTGGCACAAGAGGCAGAGGAACACTGGTCACTCTGTCCTCAGGGGGCTGCTGAGAGGACAGTAGGTAGTAAAGGAGCAGCAGAGGGGGGTAAGTGCAGGGATAGGGCCTGTGCCAGTCATGGAGACCTGAGGGGGGGTGCAGAGGAGCCACACCAGGCACGAGGGCTCTGATATGTTTCTGCTGAGGGCAATTGAGTTGGGCCTTTGAGCTGTCATAGGAGTTTTCTGTCTGGGGAAGGTGCTTCCAGGTACGAGGGCCAGCAGGAGCAAATGAGAATGTTCTAGAAACAGGAAATCAAAGGTATCCGAGTTCTCTAGTGCTGCCATAACCAAAGACCACAAGTGTGTGTGTGTGTGGGGGG